ACCTTCAGTGCTCATTTCCCTGGTTTTGGTTTTGTTTACCTTTTCTATGTCCCTTCTTAGCTCACTGATCCTCCTGAGACCATTTAGGCAAACTCCTACTCCATCTTTTCTCTAGATTTACTAGGTTATTCCCCGTAGGATTGGCAGTCAGCTTTCTAGATGGAGAAACCATGTGAGCCTAACGGATAAAGTGTGCTTAGTTCACGTGATAGTAAAATGAAAAGGGAAATTTGGTGTTAGAATTCCTTCACTAATCAGCTTTTCTCCTTAAATCTAACCAATATTTTCCATCAAACTTTAATTATCTAGGTATTGAGAAGCAAAGAAAAATAGTAGTTTCTAGAAGGATTCTATCCATTAAGATCAGGAAATATGATCTAAAAACCTAAGACATTTTATCAAAAGCAGGAAAACTAAACACTAAATTCTGTGTATTTTTAAGCTATCTTACCTTGCAGCTCATAATAATATTTTTTTCAGGCTATAAGTTTAAAGGAAACCATTTCTTTTCCTTTCCTGTGAGAACAGTATCTCCTTCAGAAATCAGTCTTCTTCCATTCTGAAATAATACTTATTATACTTACACTGATATAATTGTGTTAACCTCTCTGCATCCAAATTTGACTAATGTTTGAGGTTTTAGGAGGCTTAAGTACTCTTTCTAATTGGTTGGGTTGACCTTCCCAGGATGTTGCTAAAGCTAGCCCTTGAAGGCAATAATAACTAAAAAAATAAAAAGGAGCCCATGTAGCTCCAGAGTCAGAAACTTGAGGGGGAGGTGAAGAAAGTAAAGATTAACATGAAAATAGTCCCTGTTCTCTAGATCTAGGTAAAGTGTCTGCTCCCTTTTTATTGGATCACTCATACTCTGTACATCTTTAGAAAAGAAGAAATTGACAATAGAGAATCTTAATGTCTAAAACACTTTTAGTCTAGGCAGGCTAGCTAGTTAGATGACTGGCTCTAGCAAACACCTACAAAAAACCAATACAGGGGCAAGAACTAGTCTAAGCACCCTTTGCATTACCTTTCTTGTTCTCAGTGGAAAGAGTAATTTAAGCACTGTGGAATCCTATGTTTTCATAATCCAGGAACCCCCACCCTCACCCCCTCCATGATCGTTCTCTGGTTGCTGCTTGGTAGTTCTCACCTAGTTTCTGTGTGTTCTGGTGATGAGTGTTTGCAGTTTACAGCCTCCTCAGGGGAGGCTGTGCTGTGTACTGTGCAGTACGTCACACATTTCTGAAAACTTTTCTACGTGTAATCATAGGACATACAGTTTCATTATGCTTTTAGCATGTTCTAAATGAAAATGGTTAATAAATGATTAGCATGCTTTGGTATATGTATAATTGCTAAGATTAGTGCCCAGTAAAAATCTTAATGTTTGTTTCTTTACTACTGAGATAACTGGACTAGTCTACGTAGCAAAATTTTACAGCTGAAGATATGGTTAAAATTACCCAACAAATAGAACATTTACAAAGAAGAAACTGAGGAGGAGATACTGTCAAACAAGGTCACATATTTCAGGAAAAACAAATGCAATTAACAGACCTAATTTAATTGTGAGAAAGGTAATCAGGCCTTGGTTTGTGCATGCTGTGCAGAAATGGGCTTGTGTTTCAGGAGGGTAAAGAAAAGAAAATCCAAAGTATACCAGCCTGATTATTAAAGGGTAATTTTTAGGGCTGCAAGTATGGCTCAAGTGATAGAGCAAGTATGAGTCTTTGAGTTAAAACATACTGCCACCCAAAGAAAAATAAATAATTGAAAATTAAGCTAGGCATCAGTGGCTCAAACCTGTAAAACCTAGCTACTAGGGAGGCTGAAATCTGAGGACTGTTGTTCCAACCCAGCCCAGGCAGGGAAATCTGTGAGACCCTTATAAACTACTCTTTTAAAAAAGCTGGAAGTAGCCGGGCGCCGGTGGCTCAGGCCTGTAATCCTAGCTACTCAGGAGGCTGAGATTTGAGGATCAGGATTCAAAGCCAGCCCGAGCAGAAAAGTCCGTGAGACTCTTATCTCCAATAACCTCCCCCCCCCCCCCCCCCCCCCCCCCCCGCCCTACAGAACCGGAAGTGGCGCTGTGGCTCAAGCGGTAGAGTGCTTGCCTTGAGCTGAAGAGCTGAGGGATAGTGTCCAAGCCCAGAGTTCAAGCCCCACAATGGACCAAAAAAAAAAAAGCTGGAAGTAGCACTATGGCTCAAGTGGTAGAGTACTTACCTTGAGCAAAAGAAGCTCGAGGAACAGTGCCCAGGCACTGAGTTTAAGCCATGGGACTGACAAAAATAAAATTTAATTTAAAAACATAAATGAGTTAATTTTTCATATCTCAGAGAAAATATGAAAAGTCCACCCTTTAGGGTGGCTGTCCAGAAAGTTTAGATAAATTGTGAAGACTGTTCTGCTCAGAAGCAATGAGAAAAAAATTCATAGTTTCCTAAATTGTTTCATTTGATAGCATGTAAACTCAGTTTCATGGATCAAAGGTACTAATTTATCAACACCAGCATAATATGCTTACAACTGAAAATGGAGAGAAGAGGAAGAGACTGACAGTTTGAGTTTATGGCCTCATCATTAACACTGTTAAGTCTTAAATTAGAGTAGGTAGTAACTTGACAAGGACAAGATCTTGTGGCCAGAAATGCCAGACTGAAAGTTAGAACTCAGAGCCAGCCAAAGCCATCACACTCAGAAATGGAAACAATTCAGATCAGGTCAGTTTATTGAGTACCATGTTTCTGGTCCGGTGGGCAGTAAGATAGTAAGAGTATGATAGTAGACTTACATTAGTTAAGGATATTTTGGAGAACTCTTCATAACAGTATGTTTGTATACACATGTGCACATGTGTGTGTGAGTCTGTGTGTGTGTGTGTGTGTGTGTATTTCTCAACATCATCTTGTTGGAACTCATTTCTTTCTGGAAGCCTCTTACTGGGAGCTACACCTAACTCCATGTTCTCCATGTGGTACTACAAACCAGCCCATTAACCACATTCATGATGCCTTCTTGGCTTGTCATGCAGCTAGTTGACCTTTTCTTCTGCACCTCCCTACAAAACTGCACACAATGGGCACTTTAAGTACAGTAGCCTCATGACATTTGCCAGTATGGAGTTCAATTATTTGGCTTCTCATAAATTACTGTTTTTTCTTAGTCTATGAATTTTAACTCACATAGATGCTCTAAGGATAATCTGATCCCAAAGCTAAGTGAGTAAACATAACCAACCAACAGCCTAGCTTCTGAGTTTTATAGATACTCTTGGAACATTGTTTATATATAAAGTAATTATTGAGTCATTAAAAAAAATACTTCAGCCAGGTGCTGGTGGCTCACACCTATATAATCCTAGCTACTCAGGAGGCTGAGATTTGAGATTCTTGGTTTGAAGCCCTCCAAGGTAGAAAAACTCAAGAGATTCTTAGCTCCAATTAAACCACTGATAAACCAGAAGTGGATCTGTGAATCAAGTGATAGAGCCTTGCTAGCTTTGAGGAAAAAACGCTCAGGGACAGTGCCCAGACCCTGAGTTGAAGCCCTAGGACTGAAACAGCAACCAAAACAGACAAAAGGTTCAAGTAGAAAAAAACAACAACTTTAAATTGTTGAAGACAGTCATTCATAGTGTGAGATATGCATATAACTACTGGGGGATCAGATGTAAATGTATAAATGTGGGACATGAAAAGTCCTAGAATTGTGCTGAATTCTAGATTTCTATTTCAGGATCCTTGAAGAACTCCTAAGTATATGAGCATATGAGGGATATACCGCATACTTTTTCAATCACTTCTTATCTCAATACATGTGTCTCCATGTTTAAAAGCATGTTTAATCCAGTGGTGCTTAACCAGGGCTATCCATAAGAATTACATACAGGAAGACTTCATCCCAGACCTACTGAAAGAGAATCTCCACGATTAAGTTAGGATGTGTTCATTTTAAAAGAAAAAAAAAGTGTAGAGATCATTCTGATGAGTATAACTTCTAATTTAATGAGGAATTCCATGGGGAAAAGCCACCTGATAGGTTCTGTCATACACAGACAGCTGTGAGGCTGTCATGCTGTGTTGGCTGACAAGCTAATGGTTTCCAAGGATTGGTTAATATTTTAATCCAGAAGTACCACAAGTAACCCCTAAGTTCAATTGTCCAGGGTGGTATTACCAGACTGCTTGTTTCTCTCTTCTTTTATCTGTCCTTGAACATGTTGTTCCCCATTAACACCTCGGAAAAAGAAATACATACATATCAGTTGAATGCTTATTTTTCAGTCCTTTTTAAAAAATAGTGATAGGAGATTAAAGATCACAAATAAATAAATGGAAAGTGCACAAACACATAACCACTTTTGTTGCTTTATTTACAGTGACCAGCTTATAATTTGCATCTGTGAAACTCCTTCTGAGACTTCAGAACACTTCCTTTTTCTTTTCTTACCATCATCCTAGGGACTAGGATGATACTTGCCCTACTCCATCCCCTAACTCCTCACTCTTCTACCTTTACTATAGATACAGGAGTAAGACAGGAAATGTCCTGAGTTTTAATATTCATAAATGACACTATTTAATCAGAAAAGGCTTGAAGGAATTGAAAACTGAAGGAAATTATTAGGATAAATATTGTGATTTACAAAAGCTTGATGTCACATAGAAAGTCAATGATATTCACTCTTGGAACACAAGGTTGGTTTGCTGATGATGTAAGGGTAGAGTTTTTATCATTTTGCTTTTTACTGACACGTATTTTAAAGAGTGTGGCCCCAAAGCCTTGAATCTGGCCAGTCATAGAATGCAAATAAGTATAAGTTAGAGCTAAGTAGCCTTCTGTGCAGTCATTTGAATTGCTTTCCTTAAATTGTATCTCCATCTCCAGCTGTGAAGTGAGACATCTGATTTGAAAAGTGCAATTAAGACTGGAAACAAAAATCAGTCCCTTACTAATGCTGTTTTCTTTTCTTTTTTGTTTTTGTCTCCTTTCTCTAGCATGAAAGACTTTCTAGGTAAGAACTTTCCCTGTTTTGTGTGCATGCTTATGTTAACTTGTGAGTGAGCATATGTCTAATTGAATTTAGCTTTATATAATTGTTTGGTAATGTTCCTCACATACTTTTCTTCATTTTCATTTCCACAGCCTCCACATAATTTAGACTTTTATTACTTGCCTAAAGTAATGGATCTGCTTCCAACTCACCTTCCTGTCCCCAGGTTCTCCTCTTTCCAATTTATCTTATATATGTCCAGTAGATTAATTTTCCTAATGCACCAGAACATGGCACTGTGCTTACCACTAGGGAAACAACATGAATATGACCCATCCATAACCAACAGTTACCTGACAAAACTACTGGAGAAGACAGATTCTTTCCAAAGAACATAATGGATGTTGTTTAGAAATATGAATACTAAAATCAACACATAGAAGAGACACCTTAATCAGTGGTTCAGGAAGACTCCACTGCAGAGTGCAAACCTGCATTGAGATTGTGGCTAAATGCTCTCATTAGGGGACCCAACAATATACCATGTACCTAAGGTGACATGTAACAGTATTGGTGGGTAGTTTTATTGTTACCAGCGCTTAAACTCAGGACCCTCACACTCTTCATTGGCTTACTTAACTGCTGGTGCTCTACTACTTGAGTCACATCCCCATCCTGGCTTTTTGCCAGGTTTTTTGGAAACGGAGTTTCACATTTTTCTGCTAAGCTGGCTTTGACCCTCAGTCTTCCAGATCTCAGCCTCCAGAGTGTTATGGTTACAGGTGTGAGCCACTGGCATCCAGCTTGATGCCATTTGTGAAAAGAGACTTCTACAAACTTCAAATATGCTATAAAATTGCAGTGATTAAAGCAGCAATGAGATACAGTTTAAAATAGAGTGATAGAAACATACCATAACCCCCCATAAAGTCATATGTATAAAATGAAATTTCATCTCAGTGGGGGAACAATTTCTCAAAAGTGATAACTTAGCCGGGTGCTGGTGGCTCACGCCTATAATCCTAGCTACTCAGGAGGCTGAGATCTGAGGATCACAATTCAAAGCCAGCCGGGGCAGGAAAGTCCATGAGACTCTTATTTCCAGAAAACCGGAAGTGGCGCCGCAGCTCAAGTGGTAGAGCGCTCGCCTTGAGCTGAAGAGCTGAGGGACAGTGCTCAGGCCCAGAGTTCAAGCCCCATGACCGACAAAATAAAGTGATAATAGACAGTTGTTTGGGAGGTATCACCTTACTTCAGGCTATGACCATCCCCCAAAAAGGAACATTCCAAATGGATTGCAACTTGATTAAAAGAAAAACAAATTCCCACAAAAATAGTAGGGAATATTATTTTATAATCTTTGTATAGGAAAGGCCTTTCCAAGCATTGTACCATAAAGGTAAAAATTGTCACACTTAATTACATAAAATTTAAATTTTCTTCTAGTAAAAGCACTAGAGACAGATCCAAAATGTGATATGGAAAGAATACTTATAACCCTGTTGTAAAAGTTGTAAAAGTTCAACTGTGTAGAAGAGTCCTCCAACATAGCAAAAAATGATCATCAGCTTGCCAAAGGATTGAACAAGCAATTCAAAAACTATGAATAACCAGAGATATTTAAAACATTAAAATTAGTAATGATGAAACTAATTTATTTGTTATTGAAAAGGATTAACCCTCCCTGGAAGGCAATACCTATCTATATACCTTCATATACTATCAGCACTTAAAATATATTTATCACTTCATTAAACAGTTATATTTCTAAGATTTGTTCTAATAAAAAGTTGGACAATACCAAGATTTATAGGCAATACTGCTCATTGTAATAGTCCTGGTAGCAGAGAATTTTGAAAAAAATATGTGTTTGTCAGTTGAAAGGTAATTAACAACCAAGAATGGACTGTGCTGTCATTTTTTTTTAATGCTGGTACTGGGTTTTGAACTCAGGGCCTCTCACTGTTGCTTCTTTTTTCATTCAAGGCTGGTGCTCTACCACTTGAGCCACACACTTCTCAGATTTGTGTGCCCAGGCTGGCTTCAAACCTCAGTCCTCAGATCTCTCAGCCACCTAAATAGCTAGGATTACAGGTGTGAACCACCAACATCCAGCTCTATTATTTTTTTAATGAGCCAAATTTATTTTTATTTATACATTTAGGTGCTTATAATCATAACGTTAAGTATGAGGAAGAAGGGGATAAGACAGCATAGGTATTACCTGATTTTATTTATGGAAGTATATATTGTAACATAATGCTGGACATTTTGCAAGTATATGAGCCAAGCTATTTTTTGGTAGTAGTAAAATGTTAAACATAGTGTATTGGACTTGCTAAACAAGTGCTTTACCACTTGAACTATGCCCCCTACTCTGAACTAAACTCTTAGTAATGAACTTTTTAATAATTTTATTTATTTATTTTTGTTTATGTGGTACTAAAGAATGGAACCCAGGATCTCTCATGCATGCTAGGCAAGCACTCTACCACTAAGCCACATTCCTTGCCCTGACTATTTCTTGAATGAGAGATTATAGGGATAAACACTTTGGTGCTACATAATGTTATACAAACTTGAAAAAAATCAATATAGAAATTTCTATTAACAAGAAAAAAGGAAGTGAGAAGTGAGGGAGGGAGATAGGGAATGTAGGCAGGTAGGAAGGAAGGACTTCACATCTCTATCAAAGGGGACATTGGTGTCCATAATCACTAGTTACCTTTCTTCTCCTGTCTGCCCTCATCTTCATGGCTCTCCTCATGCTTGCTTCATCACCCCAACCTTGTCCATAGCTACCACAGAAACATCAGATTCAAATGCTGCAGCTGTAATGCTACAAACCAGCCAAGTTTGGAGATAGATTGTTCTTCAGGACTGGTTTGTACATAGCACTTTAAATATGCTCTACATTCTGGTTAGCAGAGCAAAATCCAGGAAAATACAAGCCAGTATTAAGGACCAGTGGGAAAATGATAGTCTTATATTTTAAACAGATAATCAGCTGAGAGACTCTTCCCTAATACACTTAGCAATAGTAGAAATAAAACTCGCATCAACTCTAAGAGCTCTGTTGCTAATGTAGAAGTCCTATTTAAGGACACAAGTCTTGATATGAAATAGAGGATAAAAATGAGCCGTGTTAGCACTGGAATGACACCCTTGGACTGTTAGGGACTCTAGTCACCAATAGTACACCGATTGAAAGTAGATCGGCATGCCTCCCCCATTCAGCCTCCAGCTCAGTCTCAACGCTCATGTTTCTGATTCATTGACAGTTTGTTATAATCATTTTCCAAGAGCCACTGAGATCCAAGAAACTTTTGCTTTTAAAAACATACTCATTAGGGAAGCTGTTCAACTCCAAACTAATTTGAAAAGCTCTTAAGATTTAAGTCAGCACATGGGTCCAAACCACCAATTTTTCAGGAAAGCTCCATTCTTGGCAAATGATGGCCTTCCTCCCCAAAACTCCATACTTGTACAGCTTAGCCTTGAGATCCAGGAATGCGGGCTGGGAGATTCAAAGAAGGAATGCTCTTCATTGCTTCTTGCCAGGACTCTCAAACACTTCTTAGAAAAGCAGAAAGTACCCTACACCCATATACATCTAAAAATCAATTTTTATCTTTAATGTCTCCCACAGATTGGAATCGGGAGGTAGTAACCCCACAACCAGCGATTCTTATGCTGACCGGGCCTCAGCAAGAGCTCGTCGGGAAGCCCGAGAGGCCCGACTGGCCAGCCTGACCAGTCGGGTGGAAGAGGACAGCAACAGGGATTATAAAAGAGTAGGGTCTTTTTCGGTTTCCTGACCATGGGTTATCACAGCAGATAAACCTTTCACTTTTCCTCCACTGTAAAAAAAAAAATCAGCATGGTTTTGAAAGGAAAAAAAAGACACTTCAATAACAACCTACTCCTGGCAGAGTTCTTGGTTTGCTTCACCTCTATACCCATTCAAAAAAGACTCATTTGGATATTGTTTTCTTTTTATTGCAGTAGGATTATGTCTTGATATTTAGAGGTATAGGAAAAACTAAGGAATTAAGAATTGTCAGATAGTTTAGCCTGTGTAGATCCCTGAAATTCATTGGGTAGACTGCTATTTTTAATAAGCATGTACTTTTAATAAGGCTCTAGGAATATTGACTAAATACCTTTGATGTTAGTTTTAAAAAAATCATCTATCTGAGCTTGGAGAAGATTTAAATCATTTTATAGTTTATTTCCTTTGTTGCTTCCTAGCTAGACCTTGAAAACGTCCCCTGTGCTTGAGATACCAGGAGAAAACATTTTTGGTTAAGGACATTTTTCTTTGTTGATATTCTTAAGCAGAATTTGATGAAAGTCAGTATGTACATATAGATCGGTTTTTTTAAAAGGTAATTACGTTTTGTACATGAAGCCACACTTTTTTTTCCTATTTTATTTTTTTTTATTTTTTGTGAACATACTGTACAGAGGGGTTATAATTACAATGAAGCCACACTTTTAAGCAATGTAAATGCCCCACAAGAGAAAGTGAGTGACTGGATTTTTCTCTCAGAGATTAACATTACTAAACATCTTATTTGTGTTCAGCTCCTGGGATCATGCCTTATAGAAGCCAGCAAGAATGTGCCCTATTCCCTCTCTAGATTTCCTTCATCTTTTCCACTCACTCCCAGAGGTGACTTGGGTATAGAGCCCAGGCATTCGTACAGCTGCAGCTGGGAGTTCCAGTGACCTGATTCTGCTTTCCTCTTACAGCTCTATGAGAATGCCCTCACTGAAAACCAAAAACTGAAAACAAAACTTCAGGAGGCCCAGCTAGAGCTGTCAGATATAAAATCCAAGCTTGAGAAGATGGCCCAGGTGAGTGGTAGGGGAACAAAGCTGGGAGACAGAGGCTGATATAAGGAGGCAAAGTGGATTAGGAATCTAAGGGACAAGATGTGAGATAGGCTCTTTCCATCTCCAACGTATCTGCACTTCTGCAATGGATAGTCATAAGGAATCGCTCCAGTTTCCTCATCAAGAGGAACAAACAAACTTATAGCACAGAGCCCAATAACCTGAAGGCCGGCAATTTCTTCCGGTACAAGGGGCTGATCCACTGTAAGACTGTGGGCATGGAACCTGCTGCCTGCAACAAAGGTGTTGTGGTAGTCATGAAGCAGAGATCCGGTCAGCAGAAGCCAAATGCATCCTACGTGCAGACCAACAAGAATGCACAGGCAGCATCAGGCACAAGATCTGCCCCCATCTGCACATGACTGCCATCAGCAGAGCTAGTGCCATCCTGTGCAGCCAGAAGCCTGTGGTGGTAAAGAAGAAGTAGACCTGCCCCACTAAGAGCTCCTGAGCCCCACACTACCAAAAGGAATAAAGTAGTCACAAAATCTTCAAAATCTTCAACCACAAAATAAAAAAGAGGAGATAGATCAAAATTGCTTCTGCAATGACAGTGAGATAAAAAGCCTCTGAGTCTAATTTAATGTTAGAGTTCAACCAATGTTTAACTTAAAATTGAAAGCTGAGAGTTTAGTGAACAACTCCTGATAGGCTGAATGCTAATATTATTATCTATTCATTTCTTAGTAGAAAATATAATCCAGCACTCCAAGGTCAGCCCTAGACAGTTTCTCTTGACTTATTCATGTTTTTCCATTCAGTTTCTCTGCGTACCACCTCTTAGAAAGGTGTAACAAGACTCTATAACTAGTACAGAGAGGTAGCTGATAGGGCCAAGACAAATAAGTGGTTTGCTTGGGTCACATCAGGGACAGAGGTAGTCCTAGATCCCAGAACTAGATTCCAAAGCAATGATTCCATCCTGGAACAAAATAGACCCCCTAGGTCCCACTCTTCTAGGAACCAATGGCAGGAAGATCAGATAAACCACTTCCTTTCATGGCAAGGCCTGATTTCATTAGGTGGTGCTTGAGAGTGTGCTAGAGGTAATGACCTCATCACGAGTGAAACAGGCCCTGCAGCTGAAAGCTGGAACAGTGCTATCTGAGGTTATTGGAGAGTTAACAGGAAATCTATTGAGTTATTGCCCTCCTGGAATGCCTAGAGACTAAGAATTTCAAAAGCTGAACTGAGGTAAAATGACTCTTTACAAGGAGAGTGCAAAATGAAAAACAGAGGTGGCTGCTTCATGTGGTAACATGATATAATTCAAAAGCAAAGACTAAAACGTAGAGTTGTAGAGTTCCAGGTACATGGGATCTGATGAGGGAAGGGGTGGTAGACTACCCTCTGAATATCTTGTGTAGCCCTTCTGGCTTAGGATAAGTGAGGGGACATCAGCACCTAGAAGACAGGGCTACAGAACCACATGTGTCCCAGCAAGTCAGCCAAAACGCTCACACTTTCCAGAGAAAGGCTTAGCTAGGCTCATAATGGATGGTGTATCCTAAGAGCAGCCAGTCAGTTTGGCCAGGGTCTCCTCTTCTGCCAAAAGGTAGTAGTGAAACATGGGATACTGGAGTATCTGAGCTGTAAAAGATAGATAACAGCTGTACTTAAAGAGATTTTGTGGAGCAAGCAAAGGAAGGGGAAAATACAACACAATTACAACCCTGCCATAAGGCAGGGAGTTGGGCTAAATAAAGTCTTTAAAGTCTTTTTTCCCCTCAGTATTTCCTCAGTATTACCAAGCAGGCAAATGTCTTCTCAAGAGAGCATTAGAAGATAGCGGGCTGATTTTCATTCTGAATAATGCCATTTATCTAACAGTTAAAAAAGACCTTATGCTGGTTCTCACAGATAAGTATGGGGCTGTAATTGTTATTACAGAAAGCTAAGTAGCCCCTGTGAGGAGTCACAAGAAGGACCCAAATCCACTGGCTACCCATCTCCCCAGCAGAAGCTCCTGGCAGCTCTTGACCTTTCCTCCAGCCTGTGTTATCTGCAGCAAGCTGCAGATGCTCCAAAGACCTTAGAAACAAATCAGCCTTTCCCAACCACTGGGGAACAGCATCTACTCTGAGCCAACTGCTTGTTGGGTGTATCAGAATATAGTTAGTTTTGCCAAACACAAATTATTGAAATTCAGAAGAAATGGTAGCTAATCAGACTCTCAATTTACCAAAAATGGACTTGTTTGATAGTACAGTGGAGGGAGGGCCTGTAAGTGTCACATGTTTGTTTGGAGGAAGTTATCACATGGACACACTCAGTGTTTTTACATAAAAGATACATCCAAACTCTTTTTTTTTTTTTGTCGGTCATGGGGCTTGAACTCTGGGTTTGGGCTCTGTCCCTCAGCTCTTCAGCTCAAGGCTAGCACTCTACCACTTGAGGCACAGCACTACTTCTGGCTTTTTCTGCTTATGTGGTGCTGAGGAATCCAACCTAGGACCTCATGCATGTGAGGGAAGCGCTCTACCACTGAGCCACCTTCCTGGCCCACATCCATACTCTTAAGTGGACTAAAATTTGAAACAAAGCAAGCAAAAAACCAAAAAAAAAACAAAACAAAACTAGTTCTTTATATACTGAACTTTGAAAATGGTGAAATCTTCACAGCTTTTACAGCTTCTCAAACTTAGTAAAGTGAGACTTTGGAGCATATAGGATCTCATGATCTTTCCTTTTCCATCTGCTTCACAGTAGACTTACTATAAAGGCAGATAGCCATGACCTTCAGAACAGAAAGTGAAAGCACAGGATCAAGTTTTATTGCTAGTTTTGGCTATTAAGAACAAATAAAGGGAAAGAGGGAAGAGAGGGAGGAAGGGAAAGTAAAGAGGAAAAAGGAAAGAAGGGAAGGGAAAGTGGGAAGAAGAGGGGAAGAGAAGAAAGGAGAGGAATCTGCAAGAAGGCTAGTTTATTAAATGAAGTGTAGGCATTGTGTGAGGCAAAACAAAAACAATCACCTTTTACTTACTATATGTCTATTGAGTGTAAGAAAATCTACTCACTTCTATAATGCTATAACCAAAAGGAACTTAAGGATTCCTTTCCATTCTTCTATTTAAAGCAAGATCATTACCTGATGTTAGTCTACTTCTTAGTTGTAATAGCCAACTCTTGTTAGCCCCTCAGAAAATTTTAAATGGAAAGTCAAAGATGACCAGGAAACATTGCATACATGTGTCAAATTTTTACAGTAAACCTTTCTTGTACAGCTAATGGATGCTAATTATTTTAAAATCAGAAGGTATCTAAAATATATATCCTAAATGTTGTATCCACATAACTAAAAGTCTAGATTATAAACTAGATAGAAGCAGAACTGCTGTGTTCAAAGCAGGATGCCCGAACAGAAGAATAGGAAGGAAAGCTTATGTAAAAGAGTGCTATGGATGGGGCTGGGAAGGTGGTTCAGTGGTAGAGTGCTTGCCTCCTATGCATGAGGCCCTGAGTTCGATTCAGCACCACATAAACAGAAAAAGCCAGAAGTAGCTCAAGTGGTAGAGCACTAGCCTTGAGCTGAAGAGCTGAGGGACAGCGCCCAGGCCCAGAGTTCAAGCCCCATGACCAACAACAACAACAACAACAACAACAAAAGTGCTATGGCGCTTACACATTCAAGTTCAGAGCCTCTTTTTTTCTCGGATGTGGTAGGACTCATAGAAAAGAAGAGGGAAAGGGAAGGTGCAGTATAAGAAACTAGTAAATATGAAACAGTGTGTGTGTGTGTGCGTGTGTGTGCGTGTGTGTGTGTGTGTGTGTGTGTGTGTGTGTGTGAGGTCTGTGTGTGCATTATGCGTAATGTCTAGGCATGTGAGTGTTCTAAATTTCAGGAACCACTATTTTGCTCTCCCCAAACCCTAGAGAGGTAATAATAGCGCTTGGCAATCTGTCAGATTCTATTTGACTGCTAAACTGAAAGTCCTGCTATCCTTATCTGGATGTTTGATGGTAAAGCTGAACAAGGCAGAGCTTTCCACTGGCTCTGAAACAGCCTAAGTAACAAATGTTTTCTTTCCACTTGCACAGCAGAAACAAGAGAAGACCTCTGACCGATCCTCAATGCTGGAGATGGAGAAACGGGTATGTGTATGTCTGTTTTCCCCCTACTTCATCTCTTCTTTCTGACCTTCTCTAACTTTATTGTTTGTGCCAATGGAAAAAGTTCATCTTAAGAAGGCGGGAGTTCTGCCACACTGCATTCCCAGCTTGGTGATAAATTCTTTTTGTCTGACTCTGGACAGTAATTTGATCACTAGTCCTCTTGGCTTCCTCAGATACTCAGTTCTTTGTACATTTTCCAGTCTTCGGGTGGGAAAGGTCCTTGGGAGCTCATCCCATAAATTATTCTGCCCATATGCAGAACTGCACACATGCACAGAGCCATAATATACTTTGGTCCATACACGCAGGTCCAAGCGCTCTTTGCCCTTCCTTTGATCTTGAACAAAAGGGAAGCTTTCATCAGGACCTTCTGGCATTGACTTAAGTCTCACGACTTGAGACATAAGCCATCAGTCTTTCAGTCACTCTGAGTAAAGCGGGGAGGGGAAGAGACTTCTGGTTCAATTTCTGACCTCCCAGTACACTCAGCATATTTTTCTTGGATTTGACATCTTGGTTTGGAAAACTTGATTAAATCTATTGGTGAACCCTAGCTGTTATTTGACCTCAGGGATATAATATGTTTCCATTTCTCCTGTTATTATCTGTTAATTTGGAAAGTTAGCTAAATTTTACATTCCATTTCCTTGGCCTGTAACCTTTCCTCCTTGGTATCTTATCTGATTAAAGATGCTTCCTTGGGTTCAGACTAAATTACAAATTAGTTGCTGAGAGAATGATGGGGAAGGCAGAAGTTGGGAGACAGGTGGTTTTTCTTTGTAAATAGTGATGTCTACTTCTCTACCACCATCATTCCCTATCATGAGAGAAGCAGATCCCTAAGAATTTAAGGAGATACTACTGAAGAAAATGATCAATAGTCTTAGTCAGTTGCAGTCATCTGAATTCTTTAACTTGCAAGAACAACTCAGTACTGTGCCCTGGTCTGTTTGCCTATTAGCAAGCTGCTGCTTCTCCTTGTATCTTTTTATCTTTTTTTTTTTTTTTTCTAATCAGGGCTTGAGCTCTCACTTGGCATTTTTACTCAAAGATGGTGCTCTACCACTTGAGCTACATCTCTGCTTCCAGCTCTTTTGCTGTTAGAGATGAATCTCACAGACTTTCTTGCACAGGTTGACTTTGAACCCAATTCTCATATCTCAGCCTCCTGAGTAGCTAGCATTATAGGTTTGAGCCAGCACCCAGTCCATTTTTCTTTTCTTTTTTTTTTTTTTTTGGTCATTTGTGGGGCTTCAACTCTGGGCCTGGGCGCTGTCCCTCAGCAATTCAGCTCAAGATGAGTGCTCTACCACTTGAGCCACAGCACCACTTCCGGCTTTTTCTACTTATGTGGTACTGAGGAATCAAACCCAGGGACTCATGGATGGGGGGCAAGCACTATCCCTGAGCCACCTTCCCAGCCCCTCTTTTATCTTTTTAATAGGAGACTTAGAATACTGTGATTTTGATCAATGGGGTGACTCCATCCCACTGGGGGAGACATAGGGCAGTAGAGGTACCTGGGGAAGTCTTTCCTGATCATTAGATAGAACCATGCTAATCACATGGTAGGATTGCGACGACTTCTAAATCTATTGCAAACTCAACAGGTTCGTTGTTTCTAAACAGGAAAGGCGAGCCTTGGAGCGAAAAATGTCAGAAATGGAGGAAGAGATGAAGGTATGAAGATATTTTCTCTTTCTGTGTGCCTATTTTCTGAATGCCCTCTGACACTGGATACTTGAAAATAGGCCTGCCCCCTCTAAATTTCACAACAAGCTGAACATTATCAAGAAGAGTGGATGTGCGCTGTAAGGCGGGAGTGAACAGACATTGCTGAGGCTCTCTTAGCTCATATGCATCTACTATGGCTATCACATAAGCTTTCTAAAATGCTGTGTTTGGTTAGTGGGGAGATCTGACAGGCTAGAAGTAAAGCCAAGTTGAACTTTTAAGGTTTTCTAACCTTCTGTCTTGAGAGGCTCCATGAAAAGGCCAGGTATTTTCTCTAGCTCTGCAGATGCTCCACTAAGCTCAGGAGAGCCTGGGTACAGCTAGTAGCTCTTCTCTAATATCTTTTCTACCCTCCTCTTACAGGAAGGAGCATAGACTGACTTATTCTGCAACAGAGCAAAAAAATTATTCACATATTGATTTCCTGTCCCCTTCTATTTCCCCTGCAGTATCCTGGTGTACTCAGCACTTTCCCACTAGAATAAGCACATGCCACCAGACATACTTCAAGGTTCATGACTTTACTCTTTCCTCTCACCATGACCTTCAATAGCCATTGAAAGTCAATTCTGCTGGCCACTTTAATGGACATTTGCTGTTCTCAGCCGTTTGCTAAAATCCAGCATTCTGTCCAATAGGGTCCCTTTGCTATGGAAGGGGGAGAGAGAGAGCTGTAGGAACATAGAACTTCCTGGATCTGATTTTAGAGTATTTAAATCCTACAATGCACAGGGCCACAATCACTTACCACTTGCTTAGCCTTTTTTCTTTTTTTTTTCTGGATATATGAGGCAAAAGCTCTAGAACACCATAAGGCTGATCCCTAAGTCTCCTTTCATGAGCAAGGATCTCTGATATGTAGTTGGAGCCCTTTAGGAAAGACTTTTGTTCCAGCAGCCTAAAAAGATAGGTTATTTACTGGAAAAGGCTTTATAAGACCTGAGAGAATCATAGTTTTAGCCAGATCCTCTACTCTGTTATTCTTTATAATTCCAGAAGGAAATAGAAATGCAGAAAACTCTGACTCTATATTTCCTACTCATCATCCCAAAGCTAAGATTGATAACATTCACATAGAATTTCAAGCAATACCTGCTCATATCTCAAATGCTTTAAATCTTCCAAGTTGATTTAGAGCAGCAAAAAATAGAAATAATAACTGGTTAATTCTTCTGATAGAACATTACCCCAACACCACTAAATTTCTCTATCCTCTGATTTTTCCAAACCCACCTCATTTACCATACAGAAGTATTCTCTCCCACTTAGAGCAGTTTGGTAGAATTACAAACAGTTCTAAATGAATGAATAGCCATGTTTCTTCATTGCATGGGGATTCCTCTATATTTGAGACCCTCTGAGTTATACCATCTGTACTCTGCTATTAGACAGCTGTCAGTATTACTGATTAGGAAATGGCCTAAAGCCAGACATGGTAGCAGATTGCCTGTAATTCCAGCATTTGGGAAGCAGAGTTAGAAAGATCATGAGTTCAAGGAAATGAACAATAGCCTGGAGTAAGGCCCTATCTTGGGGGAGCTAGAGGACAGAAATGACCTAAAATACTGATCTGGAGCACACAAAGGAGGCTGGTGTCTTCCCAGCAAATAGCCTGGAACCAAAAAGCCAGACCATACTCATCAGTCATGGAACTCTGTTATTTCCACTCAGGCCCACACACAAGGACCAAGTGGTCTAAAGTAGTCTGAGGTTAGTTTGTACAGATACTCTTCTAATTGCTCTCAATCCTATGAACTGAGATACTTAAATGTTTCTCTCCTTATCCTGTCAAGCTGTGATTGCCTAAACTAAGTCATGAGTTCTTTTCTCAGTAGAAATTCTAATGCATTAAAGTGTTTGTTCTTTTTGATCCGAAACTAAAATCAATTGTTTAAATTTTCAAGTAGAGCCAGATCGTGACTGTTTGGTTCCCAAATCAGTAGGTAAGCTGTTTTGATTTTTAGTTTTTAAAAAAAAAATCCACTCATTCAAAAAATCCACATTCATCCAGTTGCCATTATTCTCCATTACCAATTACAGAGCCAAGTAGAAAAGAAATGCCTGCAGGCTCTAAAGCCCCTAAACATAATTTGCTCAAATCAGAGCCTAATATATTAGATTTGCAAATCATCCAGCTCCCCCTAGGGGACTGGAGAGGGGGAGGAGCACCAGAGCCTTCCAGTCATAAACATAAATCCAGCATGCATGTTCTTTGAAGGCAGAAACTTTACAACACAGATATAAATGTCACCAAATTGCTGTGACTGGCTCTAAAGAAGCTGAAGAAATGCTTTTTTATATCAGAATTCTTCAACCAGGATATTTTGATTAGTGGCCAAAATCTTTATGTACCAGGTAGCTCACCAACAGTGCATGTAACAATCTTGTCAAATTTGGGTTTGGTGGCAGATAGTCTGTGTGCTTGTACATATCCACGTTATACAGATGTTCAGCCCCCTCCCCAGAGCAGCATTTATAGAATTGACCTCTGGTGATCCCTTCAAACCACAGTAGATGCCCAAAGACAGAGAGTGACTCCAATACCTGTTTTTCTGACTCTAACAAACAAAACACAAAGGCTAGGTGAAATATGGAATCATGGAATAGGCTCTCCCAGAAGTATGTGGAGCCCTGTGGTTGAGAAATGAGTTGTGCCTTTTTTACCTTTAACTGGAAAGGTAAGTAAGTATTTACAAATTCTCCTCAGGAGAAACTCCACCCAGGTCCTGGATTGGAGTAGAATTATATGCCAGTTCTGACAAGTGTGCATGTGAGTGTGAGCTATGCTGAGCCTGCACTTGATCTTAAATGTGCCCATACCAAACCTGGTTACTACTGCATCCTCCATTTAGCCTTGGCCTCCTTGCCAGACCTTTTCTCTGCCTTTCCCAGGTCCTTGCATGAGAGAAGCCTAGAAGCCAGTCTCCTTTTAGATTGGTGCTGAGATTTCTACTTTGCTTACTCTAAAAATGCCACTAGCCAAGCTTGCCCTTAAGTTCTGTGCTTGCCCGACCTGCTCTGTGACCTGCTTCTCTTTTAACTTCTTTCTGTGCCTATGGAACATCCCACTAGATTGTTTCCTGCCTTTCTCCTTCATGCTGATAACCTCCAAATTACTCCACCTGGGTCTGCTTGTGCTCACATGTTAGACTAACTTACTTTCACAGTTCATGGCTGTAATATTCCTTGGAGACAAAGATCACTTCATATAATGACAATGATTATGTTGACAGCTTTGGTCCAATGTCAACACCAATGAAGGATGAGAACTAGGGGCTTTCCATTGGTAATTAAGTTTAAATCCTGCTCATTTCTTTAAACTCTTCCTTATGCTGCACTATGATCTCCCTCCTCTGTCCCTTCCATGACCAAGATACTTAACAGTGGGCAAAGAAGATGGCCAACTGTTTCTACCCTCAGAGACTACATAAACTGTTTGGCTTCCCTGTCTTTGTTCCAAAGTGGACATTCTCCCTCTTTGGGCAGAGAGCTATTCAGCAGTTTGTCTCTGCTTGTTTTTCCTTTTCACTGTTTTTTCCCTCATTCTACCTTTCATTTCCTTGCTGCTTCATACCTTAACTATTACTATACTAACCTTTATTTCTATCCATCTCATTGTGTGAGTATAAGAAACTTTTCTCTGCTACCTGGAAGCCTTTTGTCATCATAATAACCACAGGCTTGTTGGTCCTCATCACAAAAGCCTATTTGCATAACAAAATCATTTCCCTCCTCCAGAAGAGCTCATAGTTTTAGTTTCAAGGTCAGTGCAAATGATGATTTAGGAAGGACATGTATCAGAGTATGCAGGTCTATGGGCATACTGAAGTCTCTGAGTCCCTTATGGACCCTTTAGGGTATTAGTAAGACTATCCATGGGCTGGTTATTCTATTCATTTGCCACATGACAGACTGTAGGGGCTGGACTAGTGCATTGATCTGGCCAACTCCATTATCATTGGATGTTTATGATTTCTGTATTATTGTGCAGTTCCAATTTCCAGAATATGGGTCTGCTTGTGAGCATCTTTAAGCATCCTCCAGCATTAACATGAACTGGGACAGAGAGAACACAGCTAGCTGTGAACTTAGTGATGCATATAATCATATATATCAGGTCAGAGGCAGGCTAGCAGTTGGGGGATTCTAAACAAGTTCTATGCACTGCTGAGAAGATCTAGGAGGCTTAATGAAGCTTCCTACAAAGCCGGTTAGAGGACCCATTCAGAGAGCTGACAGTTATAATTTTGGTATGCACTTCATTCTAAACAGTACATGCCATATGCAGAGAGTACTTAAATATTCCCCTCTTGTTTTCCTTGCTTTAATTTTTTTAATGAAATTAATAAAGAGAAGAATTCAGAAAGAAAATAAGTGGGGGAGGAGGTCAAGTATGGGTGAGAAGACAGGGGGAAGGGAATACCAGCTGAATTTGGACCACACTGAATCCTGAGCTATCATCAGTGACAATTAAATAGGGTCACTGAAGCTGTGGTTCAACCATGTGAATTTGGTTCAGAAGGCCCCAAGCCACTTGGTGGACTGTCGTTCTTATAAGCAATCCAGATGTGATTTTTAAGAGCCTGGTGGTTATGTTCATACAGCTGACCTTCAGCACACTTAGACCTGGGCCAAGAATCACAACCACAACTCTCCCCTCCCTGGGCTTTTCTCCACCACCACCCTGTACATAATTTGCTCTCATTACTCCTGCCTTTCTCATTTCCTTCTTTGCATGCAAACTAAAACAAAAACAAAAAGTCACATGGTTTCTTTGTCCTACTTTTTTCTTCTCTGGTCTGTCTTGTCTATGTCTTGTGTGTCTGTCCCCTCCATGTCTCACTCTCCGCAGAATCTCCACCAGCTAAAACAGATTCAAACCTTGAAGCAGATGAACGAGCAACTACAGGCTGAGAACAGGGCCCTGACCCGTGTGGTGGCCAGAC